TAGTAGTGTATACAATGTAAGGACACTAGTGATCTGTGTAGTAGTGTATACAATGTAGGGGACACTAGTGATCTGTGTAGTAGTGTATACAATATAAGGACACTAGTGATCTGTGTAGTAGTGTATACAATGTTGGGGACACTAGTGATCTGTGTAGTAGTGTATACAATGTAGGGGACACTAGTGATCTGTGTAGTAGTGTATACAATGTAAGGACACTAGTGATCTGTGTAGTAGTGTATACAATGTAGGGGACACTAGTGATCTGTGTAGTAGTGTATACAATATAAGGACACTAGTGATCTGTGTAGTAGTGTATACAATGTTGGGTATACAATAAGACACTAGTGATCTGTGTAGTAGTGTATACAATGTAAGGACACTAGTGATCTGTGTAGTAGTGTATACAATGTAAGGACACTAGTGATCTGTGTAGTAGTGTATACAATGTAGGGGACACTAGTGATCTGTGTAGTAGTGTATACAATGTAAGGACACTAGTGATCTGTGTAGTAGTGTATACAATGTAAGGACACTAGTGATCTGTGTAGTAGTGTATACAATGTAAGGACACTAGTGATCTGTGTAGTAGTGTAGTGTATACAATATGACTGTGTAGTAGTGTATACAATGTAGGGGACACTAGTGATCTGTGTAGTAGTGTATACAATGTAAGGACACTAGTGATCTGTGTAGTAGTGTATACAATGTAGGGGACACTAGTGATCTGTGTAGTAGTGTATACAATGTAGGGGACACTAGTGTATACTGTGTAGTAGTGTATACAATGTAAGGACACTAGTGATCTGTGTAGTAGTGTATACAATGTAGGGGACACTAGTGATCTGTGTAGTAGTGTATACAATGTAGGGGACACTAGTGATCTGTGTAGTAGTGTATACAATGTAAGGACACTAGTGATCTGTGTAGTAGTGTATACAATGTAGGGGACACTAGTGATCTGTGTAGTAGTGTATACAATGTAGGGGACACTAGTGATCTGTGTAGTAGTGTATACAATGTAGGGGACACTAGTGATCTGTGTAGTAGTGTATACAAGTGTATACAATGTAAGGACACTAGTGATCTGTGTAGTAGTGTATACAATGTAAGGACACTAGTGATCTGTGTAGTAGTGTATACAATGTAGGGGACACTAGTGATCTGTGTAGTAGTGTATACAATGTAAGGACACTAGTGATCTGTGTAGTAGTGTATACAATGTAGGGGAATGTATCTGTGTAGTGTATACAATGTAGTGATCTGTGTAGTAGTGTATACAATGTAAGGACACTAGTGATCTGTGTAGTAGTGTATACAATGTAGGGGACACTAGTGATCTGTGTAGTAGTGTATACAATGTAGGGGACACTAGTGATCTGTGTAGTAGTGTATACAATGTAGGACACTAGTGTATACAATGTAGGGGACACTATCTGTGTAGTAGTGTATACAATGTAAGGACACTAGTGATCTGTGTAGTAGTGTATACAATGTAGGGGACACTAGTGATCTGTGTAGTAGTGTATACAATACATGATCTTTGTAGTAGTGTATACAATGTAAGGACACTAGTGATCTGTGTGTAGTGTATATAATGTAGGGGTAGTACAATATACAATGTAGGGGACACTAGTGATCTGTAGTAGTGTATAGTGACACTAGTGATCTGTGTAGTAGTGTATAGAATGTAGGGGACACTAGTGATCTGTGTAGTAGTGTATACAATGTAGGGGACACTAGTGATCTGTGTAGTAGTGTATACAATGTAAGGACACTAGTGATCTGTGTAGTAGTGTATACAATGTAGGGGATACTAGTGATCTGTGTAGTAGTGTATACAATGTAGGGGACACTAGTGATCTGTGTAGTAGTGTATACAATGTAAGGACACTAGTGATCTGTGTAGTAGTGTATACTAGTGATCTGTGTAGTAGTGTATGTAGGACACTAGTGATCTGTGTAGTAGTGTATACAATGTAAGGACACTAGTGATCTGTGTAGTAGTGTATACAATGTAGGGGACACTAGTGATCTGTGTAGTAGTGTATACAATGGATCTGTGTAGTAGTGTATACAATGTAAGGACACTAGTGATCTGTGTAGAAGTGTAGACAATGTAGGGGACACTAGTGATCTGTGCAGTAGTGTATACAATGTAGGGGACACTAGTGATCTGTGACACTAGTATCTGTGTAGTAGTGTATACAATGTAGGGGACACTAGTGATCTGTGTAGTAGTGTATACAATGTAAGGACACTAGTGATCTGTGTAGTAGTGTATACAATGTAAGGACACTAGTGATCTGTGTAGTAGTGTATACAATGTCTGTGTAGTAGTGACACTGTGTAGTAGGACACTAGTGATCTGTGTAGTAGTGTATACAATGTAAGGACACTAGTGATCTGTGTAGTAGTGTATACAATGTAAGGACACTAGTGATCTGTGTAGTAGTGTATACAATGTAAGGACACTAGTGATCTGTGTAGTAGTGTATACAATGTACTAGGGACACTAGTGATCTGTGTAGTAGTGTATACAATGTAGGGGACACTAGTGATCTGTGTAGTAGTGTATACAATGTAGGGGACACTAGTGATCTGTGTAGTAGTGTATACAATGTAAGGACACTAGTGACTAGTGATCTGTGTAGTAGTGTATACAATGTAAGGACACTAGTGATCTGTGTAGTAGTGTATACAATATATAATGTAAGGACACTAGTGATCTGTGTAGTAGTGTATACAATGTAGGGGACACTAGTGATCTGTGTAGTAGTGTATACAATGTAGTATACAATGTAAGGACACTAGTGATCTGTGTAGTAGTGTATACAATGTAGGGGACACTAGTGATCTGTGTAGTAGTGTATACAATGTAAGGACACTAGTGATCTGTGTAGTAGTGTATACAATGTAAGGACACTAGTGATCTGTGTAGTAGTGTATACAATGTAGTGGACACTAGTGATCTGTGTAGTAGTGTATACAATGTAGGGGACACTAGTGATCTGTGAAGTAGTGTATACAATATCAAGACACTAGTGATCTGTGTAGTAGTGTATACAATGTAGGGGACACTAGTGATCTGTGTAGTAGTGTATACAATGTAAGGACACTAGTGATCTGTGTAGTAGTGTATACAATGTAAGGACACTAGTGATCTGTGTAGTAGTGTATACAATGTAAGGACACTAGTGTATCTGTGTAGTAGTGTATACAATGTAAGGACACTAGTGATCTGTGTAGTAGTGTATACAATGTAAGGACAACTAGTGATCTGTGTAGTAGTGTATACAATGTAGGGGACACTAGTGATCTGTGTAGTAGTGTATACAATGTAAGGACTAGTGATCTGTGTATATACAATGTAAGGACACTAATCTGTGTAGTATACAATGTAAGGACACTAGTGATCTGTGTAGTAGTGTATACAATGTAGGGGACACTAATGATCTGTGTAGTAGTGTATACAAAGTAAGGACACTAGTGATCTGTGTAGTAGTGTATACAATGACACTAGTGATCTGTGTAGTAGTGTATAGGGGACACTAGTGATCTGTGTAGTAGTGTATACAATGTAGGGGACACTAGTGATCTGTGTAGTAGTGTATACAATGTAAGGACACTAGTGTTCTGTGTAGTAGTGTATACAATGTTAAGGACACTAGTGATCTGTGTAGTAGTGTATACAATGTAGGGGACACTAGTGATCTGTGTAGTAGTGTATACAATGTAAGGACACTAGTGATCTGTGTAGTAGTGTATACAATGTAGGGGACACTAGTGATCTGTGTAGTAGTGTATACAATGTAAGGACACTAGTGATCTGTGTAGTAGTGTATACAATGTAAGGATCTGTGTACTAGTGATACAATGTGTAGTAGTGTAGTGTATACAATGTAAGGACACTAGTGATCTGTGTAGTAGTGTATACAATATAAGGACACTAGTGATCTGTGTAGTAGTGTATACAATGTAAGGACACTAGTGATCTGTGTAGTAGTGTATACAATATAAGGACACTAGTGATCTGTGTAGTAGTGTATACAATGTAGGGGACACTAGTGATCTGTGTAGTAGTGTATACAATGTAGGGGACACTAGTGATCTGTGTAGTAGTGTATACAATGTAAGGACACTAGTGATCTGTGTAGTAGTGTATACAATGTAAGGACACTAGTGATCTGTGTAGTAGTGTATACAATGTAGGGGATACTAGTGATCTGTGTAGTAGTGTATACAATGTAAGGACACTAGTGATCTATGCAATAACATAATAGTATTCCATTACATACCCTCTAAGTAAAGAATTCAGTCAGTTACTCAAAAAACAAATGTAACTCGATTCAAGAGCATTCCACACAACAATTTTGTTATTCTTAGAAATATCCATATGAGATTCATGGAATTCTAAAAATAGATCCACATCACACAATACCAAGAAAAGGCTTCGGGCTCATGATTGAAGTTAGCAGGTGCTTTGTAAATTTCCATGATACTTGGAAAAACACTTCAGTTATAGGAGATTTAGGTATGTGTTATTGACAATACTGCATCGGAAGTTATACTCAGGTTACATCATCAACAAATTTATGTTAATAACCTTATTGATTTATAAGCCTGGACATGCAAAATTAAACATCACACAGACATGTTTTGGTGCAAAATGCCTACAGAAATGTCCAGGTACTACAGTGCACCTGCCAAAATAACCAAATATCGTAGGTGTAGTTAACAAGTAAATTGTTTTCTAACTCAACTGATCTATCTACACCACTTTGACATGTTCCCTCACACTATAACAAGCCAGCAACTGAATGATAATGTATAAGTACACCATTTTATTCAAACCTTAGTCTCAAAACACTCCAGGGATGGGGAAATTTTCATTATAAATGGAATGAATCCAATGCACAAACCTTTCATTTTCATGATATTCTCTATTTATAATTAACATTGACTGGAGGGGTCAAACGACATGACTGTATCAACCTTACCAAAACTGTCTGTTGTTGACTGGAGGGGTCAAGAGATATCACAGTATTCACAGGTTCTTTGACTCCTGTTTTATGTTCTTCTCTCACACAGAAGATTTTGCCTGTCTGTAAGATAAATAAGAATTATAGCTACCAATCAAACAGTAATATTTGAAGTATACTATGTGTAACAAAAGTATCCTTGAGACACATGATACCACCATTACTTGGTTTGTGGTTTATTTTTACTGATTTCATGAGCTTTCTTAATCTACAAATCCATACACAGAGTGTTTCCGTGAACTGCTGATATTAACATAAGTAGATTTATTGAGCTATAGTTATCCACAAAATCAGGTGTCTACAGTTTGGGATTTTTTAACCCAAAATGTATGATTTTAGAATAAAATTGTACACATTATGTTTCATTACTTTTCATGTCTTGAATATAAGTCAATCTCTGTCTCCAGAAATGAAAAGATGTATTAAAGATGTAAAGACTGTATTTAAAAAAAATACCTTGTCATCAAGCTCCCCATCCGCATACCTCAAGCCACAATCTTTTGGTGTAATTGGCTCAGGATTGGCTCCTACCTCAGATTTTTGCATGTAAAGTCTCTGGTCTTTGAAATTTGAGAAATACACCTTTCCATTATTGACAAAGAATGCTCCACCTCCATATTCATGAACCAGGGTCCTAGCACTAAATTCCGCTGGTGTAAGTGATATACATGGTTTGCCCTGGCCAACAGTCTTTTTACAGATAACGTAGCGCCCACCCTCATCAAATCGCATCTCCGTCCAGTATACATCATCTACAACAATGTTTTAATGACATCAAGTAAATATTCCCATCTTTCGTCTTGTAAGAAACCATTCATGCATGATCGGGTAAGTTTTTGTGTGTTTTTAAAGCTCGAATTGTTAAAAGTTCAACTTAAAATCGCACCTATTCCTAGTGTAAATTACAGCGGACGTGAAACCTTAAACGGGTATTACCTGAATATTCCACTACACCTAAATGATATATTTTCCCATCGTTAGTGAATACTGAAAGCAGATTATGAAATTTGTATGTTTTGCAGGACTACAAAACAATTAAATACAGGACAAGCTTCCAAACTGACAAAGCGAAAGTAGATAGCCTACTATGGCATCAGTACTTACTTGGGCATTTTGCGTCTGTCCTAACCTCCTGTAGCAGAACACTACTGTCAGTGACAATTTTGCTGGTGATTGGCGATGTCCATGATCCATAAGCTGTTGTTTTGACACTCATTTTGCGTACACCCTTTGTTGTCCAGTTGGTAACGATGCGTAAGACTGTTGACGTACCTACTAGTGTCAATGCCGCCACAATCCTCGCAGATGTGTGGGCGTGATCACGTGCAATTACAATGGAGTTATCTTCCTTGACGGTCGGAAAAGTGGCAAGGTGTGTATTGTTATGTTGATTTTAAGGAATACCAAGACATTCGTTAAAACGCATGCGCGTATAAATATGCTGGACCATATAATAGAAAGTGATGTCATGTATCTCTCAGAGTGTCCTAGGCCCGGTTGTAACCGAAACAAGGACCTTAAGCCCCAAAAAGCAAAGATGTATCTCTCATTCGATGAGAGCCAAACAATGGAAGTACCTCCTGGGGACTCATTTACATTGGATGTTTGACAGTGACCCTCGCCGACGAGAGAGGTTGTCAAACGTCTGATAAAAATGAGTGGCAAGGTGGAATCCCACCACAATTTGTGTTTTCGTATGTTTACTCCCCATTGGTTTGGTGTTGTTTCCTCGTCGTCTATTCTTATTACTAATACAATTGATCTTTATCCCTAAATATAAACGACAGTGTCACTCACATAGAACTACAGTTTTTAATTGTAATTTAACTGTAATTGACATTGTTCAAGTGTTCATTATAGATAAATTGGCATAGCGCAGTGACAGCAAAATACTTTGTCACTTTGGTGAGTTAGTCCGGTATCATGTTTAACCATATATTATTTAAACAGATATTATTTAAACAGATTATAAACATCCAACTACTTTATTTAGTTGAGGAAACTGTAAACCAGAAACGTTGAATTGTAAACTTAAGTGTCTACCATTGCTCTATAAGAATAACAAAACAGTGTCATTTTAGGATTGCCGATAAAGGTGTGTACTTATTTAAAATGCACAAGAATACCATATCAGTTAATTAAAGTACCTGAGATTGGGACATTCTTGGAAGTATCTCTGAGGTACTGTGACAAACAGGAGAAGAAATGTCCAACTCTTTAGAGGTTGAATACATTTGTAACAGAGGTCATTATTTATTTTGATGCCTCCGCTAAGATTTGAACCGATGGACCTTACTGCCAACAAGCTAAATAAGATCTCTCTAGCTGAGCAGTATATGGCGTCTAATATTTACCAAGGTTACATACTTGCCTTCCAGGAAAAAACTCATCCTCAAGTTTTCTAGGGATTACAACAATGCTTATTGGGCATGGCTAAGTGTTATTTCCGAGTCTCTACATGGGCGCCAATGTAACAGAGGTTATAAGTTATTGCAATGTCTAGGATTTTAACCCAGTGTAGCATGGCTTCCTAGTCTGACGCTCAATTGATTGTGTTAAAGAGAAGTTCTCTCTAGCCAAGGTGTATTATATTGCTACTAGTATTTACAAGGTTACATACTGTTGCTTGAAAGATGTTAGTTTAAATTTTGTTGAAAAAATATTTTTATTCAGTTCCGTTACCATACTAGATAAGTTACAGTTTAAATGTCTATGTACTCATATATATTGTTGACATTTTTCTGAGCCTTCTTTTGTATGACGCATCGGCTGGGTTAGAAGCAAAGTGTTATATAAATGAAGAGATACAGTACTCCATAAATAAATATTTATTTCTCCTGGCAGCAAGTTCTGGTACCTGGGGTTTTCTCATGGCCCCTGTTGCCTGGCCACTTATTTACAATACAAGTCTTCTTTCAGAAAAAATTATACTGAGTACAAATTTACGTTTGGGTCATTAAAAATGCCTATAGTTGAAAGGGTTAATCACAGCAAATCCTTAATGGCATGCTCAGAAGGACATTGCCATTTAGCAGTAATAATAGAGATAATTTAATTTCAAAGTATATCTTTACATTTGGCTTCATACTTATATTTATATATTTGATATTGAAATTATTCTCTCAGAAAATTTATCTGGCCTTATAACTGGTAAAGGGTCTAAATGGCAGAAGGGAGTCAAACACAAGCAATTTCTTCTTGGTGCCAACTACATTTTTGTTAAGTTAATTGCTTAAAGTTTAAAACTTTACACTGATAAGGTTTCTCTTGGCATTAAAATCTTCAGGCGTGAAGTGATCTTCCAGTTCCTGTAAGTTGTTTTACAGGTTCTCTGGAATCCTCCCACCACCTGTTTGATTGATAAATCTAGATGCAGAATAAAACCTACTGGGTAGTTAATATGTAAACGTAACTGGGAGTTGGATGTTATTAGATTACACAACTGTTACCAGGTTGCTATAAATGGATACTAATGATAATAAAATTTTTTGACAGATGGACCGAATTCAACGAATATTTGGGATTAAAAGAGAAGATTCTTCACCATATCATTCACATCATGTGGATGATGGTTCCAAGTTGAACCCCAATATTGTGACAAATCAGGGCTGTTTAGAATGTAGAATAATAGGGACAACAGTGCCTATTGGTGCAGCAGGATATATCTTGCATCATTATCGACTCAAGAAAAGTGTTTACAAAGGATCTGAAGGATTGATATGGAACATTGTGTGTTTAGGAATGTCTTCAGGTAGTTGAGGAAGGCTTATTAGATAGCTTGTGTCTTATTGAAACTGTTTTAAAACTTAATTAAATTTTCTCTGTAAAGAATGTCAGATTACATTGTACATATAAGTAATTATGAAACGTTAATCAAAATTTTATCTTTTCACTACCAGCTTTTATGAATTATATAACAGTAATATACTGTATAACAATATACTACATATAAAATGCTGAAGCATTTTGATTCATGATTAAACTTTGTTTTTATTGCAGCCTTGATTTTGATTGGAGGTTGTCGCTTCTTTGAATGTGGAATATTTAAGTACCTGAACACCAGTTCAAAGACAATCGCATCACAAGATGACAATGATTGATTCAGCCAGAACATGTCCTGATTATCTTGGTTGGTTCCTGAACTGTATACATGTTTGAAAGTAGACATATAGTGGAGTTTTTAATTCAGAAAAATGTGTACTATAGCATTATTGTGAGTTTTAGCAGAAGAAATCATCTGAGAATTAGGACATACTTTACATTGTGAAATACACTGATGTGATAACAGTTTGATACATCAACTTCTTTTATAAAGGAGGCACTGTCTAACAAGTGTTCATCATTTCTGTATCATTGTAGATTTGAAAAATAAAAATTTCATTGAAATTCCTCTTTAAGTGTAAGTCACACCAAATTCAAAAGTACATATACACCAATAAAAAAAACATCAACACCAGTCACAAGTATGTAAACACCAGTCACAAGTATGTAAACACCAGTCACAAGTATGTGAACACCAGTCACAAGTATGTTAACACCAGTCACAAGCATGTAAACACCAGTCACAAGAACATAAACACCAGTCACAAGTATGTAAACACCAATCAAAAGTATGTAAACACCAATCACAAGTATGTAAACACCATTCTCAAGTATGTAAACACCAATCACAAGTATGTAAACACCAGTCACAAGTATGTAAACACCAGTCACAAGTATGTAAACACCAATCACAAGTATGTAAACACCAGTCACAAGTATGTAAACACCAATCACAAGTATGTAAACACCAGTCACAAGTATGTAAACACCAGTCACAAGTATGTAAACACCAATCAAAAGTATGTACACACCATTCACAAGTATGTGAACACCAATCACAAGTATGTAAACACCAGTCACAAGTATGTAAACACCAATCAAAAGTATGTACACACCATTCACAAGTATGTGAACACCAATCACAAGTATGTGAACACCAATCACAAGTATGTAAACACCATTCTCAAGTATGTAAACACCAATCAAAAGTATGTACACACCATTCACAAGTATGTAAACACCATTCACAAGTATGTACACACCATTCACAAGTATGTGAACACCAATCACAAGTATGTAAACACCAATCACAAGTATGTAAACACCAATCACAAGTATGTAAACACCATTCTCAAGTATGTAAACACCAATCACAAGTATGTAAACACCATTCACAAGTATGTAAACACCAGTCACAAGTATGTAAACACCAATCACAAGTATGTAAACACCAGTCACAAGTATGTAAACACCAATCACAAGTATGTAAACACCAGTCACAAGTATGTAAACACCAATCAAAAGTATGTAAACACCAATCACAAGTATGTAAACACCAATCACAAGTAAGTAAACACCAATCACAAGTATGTAAACACCATTCTCAACTATGTAAACACCAATCACAAGTATGTAAACACCAGTCACAAGTATGTAAACACCATTCTCAAGTATGTAAACACCAATCACAAGTATGTAAACACCAGTCACAAGTATGTAAACACCAGTCACAAGTATGTAAACACCAATCACAAGTATGTAAACACCAGTCACAAGTATGTAAACACCAATCACAAGTATGTAAACACCAGTCACAAGTATGTAAACACCAGTCACAAGTATGTAAACACCAATCAAAAGTATGTAAACACCTATCAAAAGTATGTAAACACCAATCAAAAGTATGTACACACCATTCACAAGTATGTGAACACCAATCACAAGTATGTAAACACCATTCACAAGTATGTAAACACCAATCAAAAGTATGTACACACCATTCACAAGTATGTGAACACCAATCACAAGTATGTAAACACCAGTCACAAGTATGTAAACACCAGTCACAAGTATGTAAACACCAATCACAAGTATGTAAACACCAGTCACAAGTATCACAAGTATGTAACACCAATCACAAGTATGTAAACACCAGTCACAAGTATGTAAACACCAATCACAAGTATGTAAACACCAATCACAAGTATGTAAAACCAATCACAAGTATGTAAACACCATTCACAACTATGTAAACACCAATCACAAGTATGTAAACACCAGTCACAAGTATGTAAACACCATTCACAAGTATGTAAACACCAATCACAAGTATGTAACACACCATGTTCACAAGTATGTACCAACACCATCACAAGTATGTAAACACCAATCACAAGTATGTAAACACCAATCACAACTATGTAAACACCAATCACAAGTATGTAAACACCAATCACAAGTATCTAAACACCAATCACAACTATGTAAACACCAATCACAAGTATGTAAACACCAATCACAAGTATGTAAACACCAATCACAAGTATGTAAACACACATGTAAACACCATCACAAGTATGTAAACACCAATCACAAGTATGTAAACACCAATCACAAGTATGTAACACACCATTCACAAGTATGTAAACACACAATGTCACAAGTATGTAAACACCAGTCACAAGTATGTAAACACCACTCACAAGTATGTAAACACCAGTCACAAGTATGTAAACACCAGTCACAAGTATGTAAACACCAATCACAAGTATGTAAACACAAGCATGTAACACCAATCACAATCACAAGTATGTAAACACCAGTCACAAGTATGTAAACACCAATCACAAGTATGTAAACACACACAAGTCACAAGTATGTAAACACCATACACCAATCACAAGTATATATGTGTATAACACCAATCACAAGTATGTATATACACCAGTCACAAGTATGTATATACACCAGTCACAAGCATGTATATACAAGTATGTATATACACCAGTCACAATCACAAGTCATGTATATACCATCACAAGCATGTATATACACCAGTCACAAGCATGTATATACACCAGTCACAAGCATGTATATACACCAGTCACAACATGTATATACACCAGTCACAAGCATGTATATACACCAGTACAACACCAAGCATGTATACACTGTCACAAGTATGTCACAAGCATGTATATAACACCATGTATACAATCACAAATGTATGTCACAAGCATGTACACACTGATCACAAGCATATATACACTGTCACAAGCATGTATATACACCAGTCTCAAGCATGCATATACGCCAGTCACAATCTTGTATATATACCAGTCACAAGCATGTATATACACCAATCACACATCACAAGCATGTAGTCACAAGCATGTATATACCTGTCACACCAATCACAAATGTATATCACAAGAATGTATATACACCAGTCACAAGCATGTATATACCAGTCACAAGCATGTATATACCCAAGTCACAAGCATGTATATACACCAGTCACAAGCATGTATATACACCAGTCACAAGCATGTATATACACCAGACACAAGGATGTATACACCAGTCACAAGAATGTATATACACTAGTCACAAGCATGTATATACCAGTCACAAGCATGTATATACACCAGTCACAAGCATGTATATACACCAGTCACAAGCATGTATACAATCACAAGCATGTATATACACCAAGTACATATCACAAGCATGTATATACACCATCACAAGCATGTATATAGTCACAAGCTTGTATATACACAGTCACAAAGTATATACACTGATCACAAGCATGTATACACCAGTCACAAGCATGTATATACACCAATCACAAGCATGTATATATACAAGCATATATACACCAGACACAAACATGTATATACACCAGTCATGAGCATGTATATATACTAATCACAATCATGTGTATACACCAGTCACAAGCATGTATATACACCAGTCACAATCTTGTATATACGCCAGTCACAATCTTGTATATATACCAGTCACAAGTATGTATATATATCGATCACAAACATGTATATATACCAGTCACAAGCATGTATATACACCGATCACAAGCAGGTATATACACCAGTCACAAGCATGTATATACCAGTCACAAGCATGTATATACCCAAGTCACAATCATGTATATACACAAGTCACAATCATGTATATACACCAGTGACAATCATGTATATAAACCAGTCACAACCATGTAAATACACCGGTCACAAGCATGTATATACACCAGTCTCAAGCATGCATATACGCCAGTCACAATCTTGTATATATACCAGTCACAAGTATGTATATACCAGTCACAAGCATGTCATCACAAGCATGTATACAGTCACAAGCATTTGTATACACCATCACAAGCATGTATATACACCAGTCACAAGCATGTATATACACCAGTCACAAGCATGTATATACACCAGTCACAACAAGTATATACCATCACAAGCATGTATAAGTATGTATACCAGTCACAAGCATGTATATACACCAAGTCACAAGCATGTATATACACCAGTCACAAGTATGTATATACACAGTCACAAGCATGTATATACCACACCATATCACAAGCATGTATATATACCAGTCACAAGCATGTATATACCAGTCACAAGCATGTATATACACCAGTCACAATCATCTATATATACCAGTCACAAGCATGTATATATACCCATCACAAGCATGTATATATACCAGTCACAAGCATGTATATACACCAATCACCATGTATATAGTACAAGCATGTATATACACCAGTCACAAGCATATATATATATCACCATGTATATACACCAGTCACAAGCATGTATACACCAGTCACAAGCATGTATATTCACCAGTCATGAGCATGTATATATACAAGTCACAATCATGTATTTACACCGATCACAAGCATGTATATATACCAGTCACAAGCATGTATATACACCGATCACAAGCAGGTATATACACCAGTCACAAGCATGTATATACACCAGTCACAAGCATGTATATACACCAGTCACAAGCATGTATATACATCAGTCACAATCTTATATATATACCAGTCACAAGCATGTATATACACCAGACACAAACATGTATATACACCAGTCATGAGCATGTATATATACTAGTCACAATCATGTGTATACACCAGTCACAATCATGTATATACACCAGTCACAAGCATATCAATACCAGTCAGAAGCTTGTATATACACCAGTCACAAGCATGTATACACCAGTCACAAGCATGTATATACACCAGTCACAAGCATGTATATACCAGTCACAAGCATGTATATATACCCATCACAAGGATGTATGTATACCAGTCACAAGCATGTATATACACCAGTAACAAGCATGTATATACCAGTCACAAGCATGTATATACACCAGTCACAGGCATGTATATATACCAGTCACAAGCATGTATATAAAGCAGTCACAAGCATGTATATACACCAGTCACAAGCATATATATACCAGTCACAAGCATGTATATACACCAGTCACAAGCATGTATATACACCAGTC